AATAGAATAGAATAGAATAGAATAGAATAGAATAGAATAGAATAGAACAGAATAGAACAGAATAGAACAGAATACTTTATTATTTGACTTTGATGCATATGCTCTCAGTGTACATAAAGGAAAAAATACATTCATCAAGAATCATAAGATACAACACTTAATGATAGTCATAGGTTACTAATAAGCAATCAAATCATACTATGAAACAAATAAAACAATATAAATTGTAAAGATACAAGCAACACTGTTATAGTCATAAGTGGGAAGAGATAGATACTAGGAAGGATGAGAGGAACAATAGTAATACAGTCTTAGTAAATAAGTTGGCAGGATTGTGGGAATTAGTTGTTTAGCTACAAACACAAAGGCTGCTAAAGAAATGAATGCAGTAGAACATGAACATGAAGTCTGTCACATGTTTTCACCCAAATATCTGATAGTTCTGTTTTCCTCTTCCAGCCACCGAAACTTGTCCCTTGACAGCTAGGGTCAGGCAGCATATTGCATACAGCACACTATTATTCTTATCCTCTTTGTAGAAGAAAAAATGTGCGTGGAAGGAGAGTATTAAATTCTCCTGTCCGCCTTTACCTCCTCTGATTAGCAATGAAATTTATCTCAGGAGAATAAAAGTAAAAGCAATCTGCCTTGATAACAGTGGAGGTCCTATAATTTACGTTAATTCCTGTGAAGTTTGCTAATAAGCTAGGTGATTTTAATTTCTAAAACTATTTATAGTGCTTCAGATTATATGTGATTTCCCAGACGGGAATAAACAACCCCAATTCTGTGATTTTTCCAAAGTTTAATTCACACTAATTCACACTAAATTTCCAAAGTTAAATTCATGCATCAGTTGCAATAAAATGTTCCCAAACTATTCACAGTTCACTACCTTTCCCACATGAACACTATAGCTGGGAACAGCAGCATCAACATCCCCCCAAAAGGAATGGACACAGAAAAGGGCTTTTTGTCATCAGTTATATGTTTCAGGGTCTCTTTAATGAACTGTCAAATCAATAGTTACAAAATTCTGGACTCTACAATTAAATTTTCCTAGTTCTGAAACAAAAGGTAGGTTTTAAAGCAGTCTTCGGTTGGGGATTTCTTTAGAAACATCCCATTCAGAAAGAAGTGGAAATCCATGTGAAGGGTGATCCTGTTTCTGATCTCAAGAGCTTACAGAAAAAAAAATGTTGTGGTCACAAAAGGTACCTTCACAGTTAGGGGCAGGAGAAGACCATCTGCCAGCATTTGTGCAATGAAGAGTTGTCTCTCCAATCAGAGCATAGCCAGGATCGCATGTGTATTTCACAAATATTCCACTAGGAAATACTCCTGTTTTCTGGTTGTTGTGAGTCCCATTTTGAATGTCTGGGGGTGGCAGGCATTGAACCACTAAAGGAGGAAAAGAGAAGATTGGGAAGAAAACCAGATTAAGAATATACTCTGTGATGATATGTCAGGAAAAAAAGTAAAAGACTAGTTGTTTCCTAGCCCAGCTGCAAAGCACCATAGTTTCCACTAACTGAAAGTGAAAGAAAGTGGAACCCACAGTCAAAACAGCATAAAGATTTCATGGTGTTCAAAAAACGGAAAATCCAGATTCATCCTTACTCTGTTCACAGACAGGTATGGGGGGATCCCATGTACCATCCACTTGGCAATGAATCTCTCTGGAACCAACCATCTCATGGCCCCCAATGCATTCAAAGCTAACTTTCTGGTTATATTTGTAGGTGCTGGAAACTCCAGCCACAATCCTTCCATTCTTAATCTGAGGAGATGGACACTGCGTCTCTGAAAAATGAAATGCATGTCAGAAGCAGATAAGGAGAAAAAACTAGAATCACTCTGTAGTAGCGTCAGGCCTGATTAGTTCAGTTTGGGTAGCTGAGGAGTAGAGATAACCAGTTTGTCAGTGTGAGGTCCTCAAGGAAATATTTGAAGGAATCTTTTTAAATGTTTCTAATTAGCAGCTGACGTTCCTTGCTTGAGAAGGAACACAAGAACCAAAAATTGGGACAGGAAAACTCACCTCCACAATACGCATGGCCACTCCATTCTCCATTTATCCCATCCTTAGATGTACAATAAATAGAGGCATTTCCAATAAGGGGGTAGCCTTTGTCACAGGTATACTTTACAATTGTCCCATAGTAGAAAGAATGCAAATACTCTCCAGTGTGCTTGCCATGAGGAATCTTCGGTGGTGGCGAACATGGAATAACTAGAAGGAGTGGGAAAGTCGAAAACTGAAAAGAATATTTTGTATCTTTTTTAGCTGAATATGTACTTTTCAATTAATTCATTAGTTCATATTCTTCTGGACTTATATTGACACAAAGCAATAAAATATTTTTATATTACCTATATACATCATACTACTTACTCTCACAATAGGGAACTTCGTCAGTCCATACCATTTTATTGTTCAATACTTTACACTTTCTGGTAGACTTGCCAATCAGCCTGTACCTGAAGCAAGACAAAAGAAACAGCATATACCATAATCATTTTATTTTTTGTAGAAGAATGCAGACTTTAGATAGTTAGGATCAAATGAATATTCTAAATTCATTTGTCTGCTCTAGTTCAAAATGAGCTGTTTAGAGTTGTTTCAGTTCTGAGCTGGTCTCAGGTCTGAGTAAAATGTAGGGATAAAGATGGTTAAGAACCCATAAAGTATTTTAGTATTCATCCACCCTATGCATTTTTGTTCATGTGATGTCAGTTGGTATTTATATGCATTCATATGTGTAGACAGACAGCATATGTGTATGTGTAGAGACAGATTGCTAGATAGCAAAATAGCAAAGTACAGGAGAAATTACTTTCCCTAATTGCTAAGTCTTCTTTTAGCAAAAGTCTTATATGTTTATAATCATACAATAGAAGGAGAAATTTCCTATTGTTTTTTATTCCTTGAAGGAAATATATTAGAAGGAAGAACATGTTCAACTCTGTTGTTTATTTATGCAATTTGTGAACCTGACAGTTGTCCTTCCTTTTCATTCAGCTTAGTCCTAATTTTTGCTGATGCTCGTTTTAGCAAACTTAAATTAAAAACGATGCAAAAATGCAGCAGCAGGTTGAAAGCTCCCAACCTAGCCACTACTGCTCCTTCTCCATTTAGGCACAGGCAGGGGTGGGATTCAACCAGTGTTACTACCGGTTTGGTGATTATGTTTTGCATGTGCTTGCATGCTTTGTGTGCATGTGCGCCTGATACGCGTTGTGCTTGTGTGTAAAAAAACCTTAATTTGGGCCGCCCGGACAGCTGAAAAGCGCTATGAGGGGGTACGCAGCATTTGAAAAGCCTCTATTTTCCTGTTTTTTTCAACCTCAGCTGTGCCATGCAAAGTAGCTGAGGTTGAAAAAGCAGGAAATAAAGGACAGGTAAGAGCCCAGGTGGGAAGGCGGGTGGGCCAAACAGTAGCAAACACAGAACCGGTCCGGTGTCTGCTGCTCTTCAGAGCTACGGATTCTACAGAACCAGGCAGAACCGGTAGCATCCCACCCCTGGCCACAGGCCTTGCCCAAAGACTGGTGAGGAAAGTGAGATTTCCTCCATCCCACCCAAAAGAGTTCTTATCAGACCATTTCAGGTTACAATGTTCGAAGGAGGAAGGAATAAACAAGAATCACACCACTGGAAATTATCTTGGATTCCCTGTAACTTACCCTCCATCACACTGGTAATTTGCAGTGGATCCTAAGTCAAAATCTCCTGTTACAAGCAATCTACCACCATCTGGTTCTCCTGGATGTCCACATGTTTTTCCTAGTGGAAAACAAGAGGATGTCTACTTTCTCATGGAGCACAAAATGTATAAAACTGATTCAGGGTTTTTGTCTGAATTTAGCAGAAAAATCAATTCCCTTACATAAATTTACAGAATGTATTTAATCAGAATAAAAAAAAAGACTTACGTTTACAAAGCTCCTGAACTTTTGACCACTGATGGTTTCTATTACACGTACTAGAATACGTCCCTGCCTTTTTCATGTAACCTGGTCGACATTTGTATTTCACTGTTGATCCAACAGGAAAGAAATCTTTCTCTTTATATTCATCCATTAACTCAGCAGAAACTAACCTAGGTGGGTAGTCACAGCTACCTAATGGGGAAAAAAAGACAGCAATGAAATTTGCCAGATTCAATTTTCAATTTAGTTTCCATTTCTTCCCCTATGATCTGGAAGTGGCTCACCATATCTTGGAATATAAGGGAATATGATCATACTTGCAGAGTTAGAGCTGATTTATTCCAGAAAGTTCCTAGACCTTTCCCTGAATGTCAAATTTTAATTTAAAATAAATCCTTTTTCCCTTTAACAAATAAAAATTTAAGGGTAAGTGTAAATTTTGTTCAAGTCAAGACAGGTAATGTCTCATGGAAAGCAATTGTGCAGAATGAAACCTGTAGTAAACTATTATTTTAATCAAGGACATAAGATATGAGCTGGGAAATTCTTGTGCTAATGAAAGCACGATCATCTGTTTTCACGTCTTGTTCTTCCAGAAATCTGAGTCAGAAAAACTGATCTATTGTTATGAAATTTTTCTGCTCATCGATCTGGGACTGTTCAAGACCATCTTTGTTACTAGCTTATTTATTGTAAGAAAGCACTTATAAAAGTGGAGCCAGTGTTGCATTGCAGCTAGATTGCTAGATGACTCAAGCCGTTATTTTACTTATTTGGGGGCTGGCCCAATTCATCTCACCAGACTGTTGTGAGAATAAAACAGAGAAGAAACTACATTTGCTACTTTATTTTGCTGGAATAAAAAAATATGTATTAGTATATTTTTAAGATAGTTTATTAAATAACCTGACAGAATTGTGCAAAAATTGGCAGGAAAACAATTTCCATTTCTAGTAAATTAAAATGTTGGCAAGCTTTGACGAGATCCAGTTCTCACTCATACTCTTCCATGGAATTCAGTGGATAATCAGTATTTCTCAGTTTAAACCCAGGCTGTCAAACTCGGGGCCACAGGGTGGATGCGTCATGTGCTGGCCATGCCCAGCTAAATGAAGGGGGAAAAAGTTGTGATACATCACATGACAACACAAGTTTGACACCCCTGGTTTAAACTAAGTCAGGGCTGAGAAGCTACATTTCAGGTGGTCTGTCAACTGAACTAAGTATTTTTAAATTTCTCATTTTTAATTTCTAACACAGTATCAATAGATATAATCCATATAAACCAAAGCTTTTTGGCTTCCTCAATCATTTTTAATCATATATAAATGGATTCTGAAATCAAACTGTTGAAGAATCGTTATTCTAAGAAAAGACAGGCTTTAAATGCAAAACAACAAAATGAATTCCTCTTAATTTTAAAGCTATTTTGAAAGTTTTTGCCAAGCTAGTAAGTAAAGTAAAAAGCAAGCAACAAGTGGAGGAAAACCAACAGCATTCTAAATTCTGCCAGAATGAAGACCTGTTACAGGACTGTGTACATTTACAGGTACAAATGTGGAAGGAAATTCACCCTGTAGCTAAAAACTGAGCAAGGGAAGTGAAAGCTATTATCACCCTTATTTCAAATTTAGATTTCTCCCCTACCATATTTCAATAACAAAAAAATACTTCATATGTTATTAGTGATACAAAATAGTAATGGGTTCAAAATCTGCCAAGAAATGATGATAGCTCTTAATTTAATTAAATCTATGAATATACCATCAAAATTCAGAATTGTACTGCATGTATTTAAAATCTGCAGTATAATACAGTAGAAACCTTCACTTGATTTAGAGCCGTTAGATCTGAGCTGGAAATATCAAGACGAACGGAAAGTAATGAGATTATCTGCCATGCAATGGTTTTTTGTTTTTTTTAAATTTTGTAAGCAGTTCAGATTGGCATAACTCCACTGATTACAAATAAGCAAAGGGAGAAAAGTCAGTCATGACTGAGAAAATACTGTATTTAAATAATGGTCTTCAATCACTAAATATCAGGAACTGAACACAAAGTCAGATTTAATTCCTTTGTCTCTGACCTCTCCAGAGCTTCCAACAAGCTCTTTTCTCCCAGATGAGGATCAAAGTTCAGAAGAAAAGTTATCAGAACTGGAATAGAAGACATAGATAATTTTTAAACTATTTGTGGAGAGAGAGGATTGACAGAGAGAGGTTAACATTACAGAAGCTCAACCAACTTCCACCTTCTCACCTTTGTTCACTGAAGGAGCAGCCAGGAAGGTCGCAGCAAACAAAAGGTTGAGGATGCAGGCAGAAATCATTGCTCCTGTTTCAGTGATGACTATGAAGCTGGCAGCAGAATTCATGCCCTTATGTATATAAATACAAAAGAGGAAGCAGCAATAGTTGCAAGCAAATAAAAGAGGGGCTTTCATACCAAAAGCCCCAGAGGAACCAGATTTAGACAATAGAACGTGTTTCTTTGTACACTGTGAAATCTCATCTTGCACATCCTGCAGTTTTATCAGTGAAATCAGTTTCAGAAGTAGTGGTTCCGAGCACCCCAAAACATACATACAAAATCAATGCATGCATATTGGTCACCCCAATAGTTCTGTATCCATTTAGTCTGAGGTGAGATAAAATGCTGGATTATATCAAGGTTGTTTTTGCTGCATTTGGCTAGGAAGTTAAGAGAGTGTTTTAGAAACTGATGAATCTTATCAGCAAGCACAAGGAGAAATTAACATCTGAAGGTTGGAATAAAAATCACACACAGTAATTTATTGTCAGTAATAATTAATGTTAATAACAGACACCAAACTGCATTTCCCAATTAGATTAGATGAAAAGGAAGGACTTTTTGGTAAATGCAACATTTAATAACTGCCACAAAATCTCTTGTGGAAACTTGTTTTGCATGATCTTCTAAAAAAAAAACAACCCAGCCCATTTTAAGAAATGCAATCTTTAGAATTTTTTGTCTGTTGAAATCAATCAATCAAAATCAAAAACAGTTTTCTCCTACCATTCAAAATATGCAATTCTAATATTTATATTCAAACCAAGGGCACTTATCAGTAAAAACCTATTTTGTTGCAGTAAGACTTCAGTTCTATTCACAAAGCTTTAGTTTTATTCCATTATGTATGAATATATAACTGGTAAATAGTTTCTGATAAAAAGTTCAGTGCAACTTTAATATTACCATTGCCAGACATTTCTCTATATACAAACATTGCATTTAATTTTTTCATGTAAGGAATACAATAAAATTTACAAATACAACTTTTGCAAACTAAGGCAAAATACTTTCTTGAATGCTGTAAGTATCCATGCTAGCCAGACTGATGCCAAAATGACATAATGTATTTTGCAATATCACAGAACATCACAATACACATTTTGTCATTCTCCCCCTCCCAAGCACCTCGGGTGAACATTTCAGGATCAGTTCCATTCAATCTAAATATACCTTATCACAGTGACGTTGACTGTTAAAATATAAAAACAGAACACTATATTCGGCAAAGCTTACTGTTCCCGCATAAATTTAAACCCAGAAAGCAAGATTAGTTTTTCTTTGGCTGCCACATGAACTCAGAAGCCTGATTTAAGAACTAGGCTGTTAAAAGAACCATGAAGACTCTTCCATTCTAATATAATCATATCTTGAGAACAGCATAATGCATTATCCCTGAAGCAGAAACATGGTAGGTTCCTCAAATTCTGTATCTGAGTGATAAGAAGCAGACACGCTAAGTGATACTCTGAAAGGATTTAAGTGCAAACTATTAGAATGTAGAAGCAGCATATGCAGTCTTGTAGATCATATGTTGATTGTTTCATGTATTAACTGCCTCATCCAATGGTCAAACTGTAAATCTATGAACTTTGAAATCAGATCTTTAATGAGTTCCCATCTTCAGTTCTCAAGGAAAACTGTTGAAAGATTACTGAAGTTTTATTGTAGAAGTTCAATGGACTCAGATCAGTCTTTTGATTTTGGTTCCAAAGCCACATCTCTTGCTGAAACTACACGGTAATTATCAGTAGAAGCAGGATGAGTGTTAGCTTTCCTGTAAAAAAAAAAAAAAGACACAAAAATAAATTCATATTTACACATGCCGTTTAAATAAGTTTTCAAAAATTATTTTTTTCAGTCCTGTTAATAAGGAAAAAACAACACACACAGACACACACTCGCTTCATTCTGTGAAATTAAAAAAAAAAAGTATTTTAGTTAGGAAAATCCACCTCTGGAAACCAAAGCATTTTACATTAATAGTTGCAGAATATTTGACATAAAAATGAATTATTCTAAGCACAACAGATCTAGTGTACAAAAAAAATAATATAATAAATGTTTTTAGATAATTGCTGTGGAATCACAACTCAAAACCTCTTTTTTACCCATGGGGAAGCTGTGTGGTATCAATGCTGAAATCTCACAAGTCAACATCTTCAGTCAAAACCAAGCTTTGTTTACATCTACTGTAGGCAGTGATTAGAAGGATGGGAAGTATAATACTTAAGAGAACCCTTGGCATATTAATACTTCTTATGCAGTACATCACTTCGGGCTAGCTGTAAGGAACTGTAGACTATGCCCAAGACTAATATATAAATTTCCAAGTTTATATAAAAGTTCAGCTTCTCAGGTCTTGATGTTGACGAACACATTTAAATCATCTTAGTTTTATTATCTAAGGTATACTCGTTCATTTGAACCATAAGTTAAATAGCAGAAAGGTAAAAAATAAATAATTACAATATGTTCCCTCATGACAAGATTTGGAATACAGGGAACCATAAGTAGAACCCTGGTTATGTGCATATATGTATGATGCAGACTGCATCATCTACAAACTAGGAGTGAGCGATAAGAGAGAATCCCATTAGTGATGAAGTTTATGCCTGAGTTGATTTACATGCTTAGTACATCACTAATGCCAAGCCTGACATGAGAGCATGGTTTCTGGAAGTCTTTCCAATCTCTTAATAGCAGATCTGCCCTAGGTCATGCGACCAGGAGAAAGCAGGCTTAATGGAGCAAACCGCAACCTTCTGAGCTATTGGCTAGCTGCCTTTCCCACCGGGGTCCACTACATTTTCAATCTCAATTTTTCATTACATTTGGACTGCTGGATTAGAAAGAAAATAAATATTACATAAAAATC